TATAATGTGTTATAGTCATCCTAGTATAGTAACATTATGCCAACATTGACATGTCGTTGATCACTAGTGACTGTATGCTTAACCATAATCAGAAATTTTTTTTTTTTTTTTTTTTTAGCATAAGCAATTGTCAGCTTAGTGAAATAGGTCAAACTGTTCAATACAAATTTTTGATCATGGCATTAAATACTCTATTACCGGGAAATTTCTAGTTATAAAATTTCGGAACAATTTTTTTCCAGAGTACAGCGATTTTTTTTTTTTTTTTTTTTTTTGCAGTGAGTTAAATTTTAAGAGCAAAAGTGCAATGCTGAAATTTTTTTACCTTTAATGGTAAATTTACAATAAATCGCTCTTAAAGTCGACAAATTTAAAGAATTTTCTATAATAAGCCGAAGAGGAGGACACTTTGCTCTGTTTTGTAGTTGGTACCAGTTCAGTAGCTTAATTCACAGCAAAATGGATGCATTTCTGTTGCAAATTGACTCCCGCTGGAGCCCCCTTTATCCAGACATTTGTTTTGTTTATGAAAATAATTGGAAATCATGAGTAATTGTTAATTGTAACTATGAATTTGAAGTTAAAGAGAGAAATCATATAGAGATTATGTCGTTCTTTTCTTACTTCCCACCTCTAAATGCAATCATTTGCATTTTATCACCACCATGTCATGGTACTAATGAGGATATGCTTTTTTGCATTAATATTATATCATCACAGATTGCCATTTCAGAAAAAAAAGACCTGTTTTAATCCTTGAGCTAAGGAAAAACAGCTGTTTTCATTTCTTATTCACAGCATACTTCATCCTGGACAGCAACCTCCCCCTACGATCGGCGCTGGACACCAGAAGGAAGGCTAAGACCGTATTCGAGAATATCACCATTGACAACTTTGGTACAAATGATTTCTTAACAGCTGCATTAGAGCTCCACAGATAATTAAAACACACATGACATGACAATGGATTCTGTTAGTGTTTGAATGTGACACTCTCTACTACTGTGCCTGGCTTGCCGTCCCGACCTACTTTAATTTTCTTTGACCTTCCTTGGGTCACCTCCCCACTAGCTAATGTTTCTCTCTCTTCCTGCAGAGCTGCCTCTGAAGCTCATTTGTCCTCCGGGCTTCTCAGAGTCCAACCTCTACGGCCTTCTCCTCATCATGTGAGCCCTCGTCGCTTTATTATGATCCAGGCCTCGCTTCGACAAGGAGAAGCAACATTATCTCCCAGTTTGTTTCATACAAACTTCACAGCAACAAATCTTAGTGTCTAGTATCAGCCAAAAATATCGGCAGACAGACGTATCAGTCTGTCTCTACATTTATCCAAAACAATAAGCGCAAACGATTGTTTTTAACCAGATATATATTGTTAAAGTGACTAAATTTGACATGAGCGCACAGAAACGGGTTAAGGCAGGAGTAGGGGAGAAACTAAGTGAGCGCAGAGAAGATGTATAAACTCATGTTTGTGATATATTGGAAGCCTCATGGGATTAAATCTGCAAGAATATAAAAAAATGCATGTAAATATGCATGCATGTGCTTTAAATGCTGCTTGTACGAGTATAAGATTTATGTCAGCATTCTCACTGCACAGTTTCTCCTGTAGGAATTGAAGTAGAGGTAGCTTCTCTCTTAGTCGCTGCTCAAAATAAGAAATAGAAGAACATGTTCATCACTTTCTGAAGTCAGAAACAACAGAGTGGCTGATGGCTGGCCCTAAACTTGACTTTTCTGTCCTACTATAACAAAAATAAATATGATGAGGTTCCTGTTGGGACTTTAACTGGACCCGAATGCATTTGCTGACGTATTTAATGCGAACTGAGAGACATTCATGGCCTGTTGGAATTACGGAGCGCAAGTTCCAGAGTCCTCTATCGAAAAGTTAAAATGACAGCCGGGTTGTGTGTTTCACACTTTCATAAATGGACTAATAGAGCCTAAAGAGGATGAAAAAAAGGAAAAATTATTTTACAAGTCAGGCAATTGTAAGAACATGTATGTTCAGTATTTGAATTTGCGCAATGCACCTTTAACTAGCAAAACAACAGGGAATCAAAAATACTGTTCATAGCTATTATATGTTTTGTTTGTTTATAATTTTTTTTCTAAAGATGTAGTAAGTCGGACATGTTTTCTGACAGAGGCAGCATTCCCAGGGAACATACAGCAACAGAGAAATTTGCACTGGACTGGGATTGGGCGCTGGCCGTGTCACACCAGATCATAGTGGCCCGGTTTGATGGCAGAGGACCCGGGTTCAGGGGTCAAAGGTGCGAGAATATTTTTTGACAAGTTTCGTAGAAAGTTGCTCCAGATTAGACCTGTTGATATTTGTTGCTTTCTGTGCAGATCGCTGGAGCAGCCTTATCACAGACTCAGAACGGTGGATCTGGAGGACCAGATTGCAGCTCTGGAGTATGTAGCATTACATCAATATAAAGAAATATTCATTTATTATCACTGGAATCAAGAACTTAAGTCTACTTCATGTTTTTTTATGTGTTAAAACTCAAGTTAAACAACATGGACTTATAAATGCTAAATGTTTTTTTTTTTTATATTCCACTACAGCATCCCGGTTTTTGCTAACACAATGCCTAAGCAAACATCTTAGAGTAGCAGCTGTTCTTGTTAATTAACGTCCATCACTCTGCCTGTTTTTCTAGCAGCTGACATCCCTGCTAATGCTTCCAAAAATAAGTGCAATTAAAAAAAAATAAAGCTACAGACTCTTAATTGAAATATTATGAAAAGATGATTTAAAAATCGTTAAAAAAGACCTCTCTCTAAAGTACAGTATGAAAGCATCAGTTTGGTTCGCAAATTTCAATGAATGATCTTCAAAACGTCTGAAATAGACTAAATGTAGCCTGACAAACCAGACTAAATGTGAGATTAGATGTTTGATTTAGTCTGGCCGCAATGAATGAGACATCAGAAGATTGTTGATGAGAACAACCCGTTATCTTTCAAACCATGTCTGTGCCTATTGGCCAACGCTCTGACCAATGAGTGCACCTGACTGTGACATTGGAAGTGCGACAGAAAGCTGGTGGGGGAGTGTAAACCAATAGCCTGTTGGTAAAACGGCGAATACGTCTTTCTTAAAAATGAATGAGCGTAGAGCCTCTTCCTGCTCACGTTTCAATGAAAAACCCAAGTCTAATCCTTCCAAAACTGATTCCAAAGCTGAGTCAAAAATCGCCATCATAGCCAGCGGTCCTTCACCCTTCACACACGACTATGCCGAGAGAGGGCCACTGCAGACGAGCTGCGGTTAGCCCTGGCTGCCACTATCCCCGGAGGTTGGCTGGTTGCCGTGGTCCTATCAACTTCGGAAATTGTTTTTTTAATTAAGCATTAAATTGGTAAATTGACCATATAATGACGCTTTAAAGTATAACATTCTTGCCCCAAATGATCTTAAAACGTACTTTCATTGAGCAACAGAAAAGAGAACTTTTAACTTTCAATGGAGCGCTCCATGCTGCAGTGGATGCTACTGTTCAATAGTTGTTGCCATCTTCCTTGTTGTGCTTTCTCCAGTGTCACGCCCTCAAAACCCCGCCCTCTTTGCATCCAGAAATTCAAAACACATCTCTGTGTTGTGATTGGCCCGGCAGATATAGGGCCTGGGGCATTGATCGAGGGTAGACCACTGGCAAAAATGATTTTGGCCGCTGGTGGGTGGGGCTAGTTTACTAGGCTAGACTAAATGGAGATCCCATATAGACTTTAAAGCATGGTGGTGGGGGCGTGATGGTTTGGGTTTGTTTAGCCATGACAGGACCTGTGCTTCTTGCAGTCTTTAAGTGGACAATCAGCTCCTATGTGAGTACCAAAGGACCCTTGTCTCAAATGTTCTTGTGTTCTTAACGCCCTGCAGCAACCAGGTCAATCAGGGTATATCAGAGGCCCAGAACCATTCCCTCCAACTATGGATGTATATCAAGACATTTTGATAGTAATATTAAATACATATGCTTCCAAATCCCCCTCATAGTTGTATTAAAGACAACCATTGACATAATTGGAACTTATTGAGCTGTTGGTGAAGATTCTCAGTCATCAAGGTCATAGTCATTCCAACAAAAGTCAAAAACAATCCGCTGGACTTTGTTTCCAAGTTTGAAGACGTTTCTCTTCCCATCCAGGAAGCTTTTTCAATTCAAAATGTCAGGAATAGCCTTGAATTTGAGGTTTTATACAGTAGCAACAAGCGACAAGGCTTTGTTGAGCTACTGTATAAAACCTTAAACTCAACAGTACTCCACTAACTCCACTAAAGTACAGAATGCTTTGCTGCGCTACATGTAGCCAGGAAAATGCAGCCTGTGAAACTCTGCTCTGGGTCACACAGTCGCTCCCTCGCTTAAATATAGAAATGGAGCCACGACTCTGACCTGAGGAAAACGCTTCAACCAGCAGGGTCGCTTTCACCTACAGACAGCCTGCTCTCCGTGCTATAAAGGGAATTATGTTCTTTTATTGCTGCAAGCAAAGAACACATTTTGTAAATGGAAATTAAAGAAAACTCAATCAAGAAACGAAACTTGAAAAAACTTCTGAGTAAAACAATGTTTTGAGAGTAAGCATGCTCTTTTCCTGTTTTACTTTAACGTTTTTTTATATCATGTTTTTTTCTAATAGTATTTTTTCAAGCTTTTATTTTATGTTTTTAGATTTTTGTTATTTAAATACAATTACATATCCTTTTTGTATAATTTATTTTCTGTATTTCTTTTTTATTCTGTTTTACCTTACTTGTTTTTTGTATTTAGTTGCTTTATTGTTTTTTCTGCTTTTTAGTTAATTGTTTTTTACGTTGTTTTTTTTTACTGTGTCATTTTAGTTGTTCTGGTGATTTTCTATTTCCTTAGTCGCTTTATTTTTCCTGTTTTTTAGTTTATTGTTTTAATGTTGTTTTATTCTTATCAATTTCTTGTTTTTTTCCCGTTTTATTTTAGTTGTTTTATTGTTTTTCTTTGGTTGCTGTATTGTTTTTTTTTTTTGTTTAGTTCATTTTTTATCATCAAGTTTCTTTCTTAATTAATCAATAATAATTTAATTTCCCTGGGGTATTTTTTTATTGAGTGTAGTTGTTTCATCAGTTTTTTTTTAGTTGTTTCACTGTGTTTTGTATCACATTCCTTAATGTATTATAGAGTGCATAGTTTTAATATATTGTCTTGTGTTGTGTCTTGTGTTAACTGGGGACTGTTGGTGTTGGAATTTTGGGAAATATAAACTTAGGGGCCCGTGTCTTATTATCTAGCCCCTGGCCCAGCAAAGGCTGTTACCTGGCCTGCTGCTCACCACAAGAGGGAGCTCTAATTCTAACAGTGGTGATATTTAGAGAACCTTGGGTTATGTCAAAAATTTGTAAAGTTACTTTTTTGTGTGTGTGTTTTTTTCTATCCTCCCAGCTTTCTGATGAGGCTGCCGTATGTCGATGGGAATCGTGTTGGAGTTTATGGACAGGTTTGTCCGTCAGACTAAAGCTGGATAAATCAATCTATATCAGTCAGTAATGTGAAAATCATCGTTTCTGTCTGTAAACTGCATCTTTATTTGACTTTTACAGACCAGGTTTAGTTTTCTTACTATCTTATGTTTCCTCCATACATTTTCTGAATCCACCTGTCCTCTGCAGGGTTATGGGGGTTACCTGACTCTGATGATGCTGAATTCAGAAAGGCTGATTAGATGTGCAGCAGCTCAGGCTCCCATCATTAACTGGACCATGTACGGTGGGTAAAACACTTATTGCTTTTGGTGCCAAACCTCCAGATCTTTCACATTGTTTCATCAAGGCAGGGAGACTTTAATTATACTTTAGCTCTGCCTTTTGGGATTTAGGCTTCGAGAATTTTTAAGATGAAAAGCTCCGACATTTATTAGAAGTGTGTCGTTGAGTGGACTTTAATCAACCTCGCCCTGCTTCAATTTCAGCCTCTGCCTTCTCCGAGAGGTACTTTGGATTGCCTTCTACCGAGGAGAGCAGATACCACGTAAGCTGCTCTTTCTAATTATAATCTTGGTGCTTATTACTTTATTTCCCTGTAGGAATTCATGCACATCTGGAGTTTAAACTACAAAAAAAAAGAAAAAAGTCACCATTAAAGACAAATAAGTCTACTTCCCTTTGTTGATGAATGTTGCATAGTAAAGAGAGTTGACATTTGAGCTTTTATTACACAGCCGAAGGTGAAATGCCATCTGTGGGTCAGCAACTTCCTTTTAAGGTGATGATTTTAAATGTAGCATCCAGCAGGGGGCACCAGGGAGAGCTGCAAATCAGCAGGTCTAACCCTTACAGCATTATTGCTGTTGCATTGCAACTGTTACCCTTTCTAGCACAGAACTAAAGCTGTAAAGGTTATGCCTTCATCTTATTTATCTTTTTTTTTTGGATGAAGTCATAATTATACCAAAAACACAAATGCGTAACAAATACTCTCTAAACAGACAGGTTCAGTGTGGCACCCGAGAGGTGCAATCGTCTTAAATAAAACCATAAAAACCAAACAGACTGCAGCGATTGTGAGCAGGGCTCTAAAAAGTTTAATCGGTTAAAGTCCAATAAAAAAGAGATAAAAAGACAAGTTAAAAGGGAAAAGGGTTAAAAAGAAAGATAAAAATACAGATGGTGAAGAGCAGCAGAGTCAATGGCCCAGTCTGTTAAAAGACGCACTCTTGGCGGGTATAATGGAGGGCACCGTCCACCCCAGCGCTGGATCCTCGTTCCGGTACGCTGCGCGTGTGGGCCTCTCCAGCATAGCTGGCCTTAGCGAGGTCATCTCCAACACGCGCCTCCACCGTCAGTCCCCAAACCTCTCCCGCTGCTTCTCTCTCACCCGCTCCGTCCGGCTCCCTCCAAGATCGGCCTTCCCATGTCCGGTCTGTCTCCCCAACCAAACCTTCCCATGTCCGGTGTCTGTCTCCCCAACCAAACAGCTGCCTTTTTAAATCAGCGTCCCAGTCGGCACGCTGCTTGGTTGATGTGGAACACCTGTGCCGTTGCTGTGGGCGTGTCCAGGTGTGAGTGGCAATGTGGCCTCCAAACAAAATCCAAAAAAAACATGCAATACACAAAATTGAAAACAAGAAAACAAGTTCAAAAATAAAGAAAAGCCAAAATTAGAAAACATGCAACAACTAAACAAAAAGGCCACATTACCACATCAGATGTCCAGGAGTCCAAAGACAGTTCAGGCAAACCGTTCAGAGGGGAACAGGTAGGCTCACTGGTTGAGATCAGGATCACGAAATCAGAAACACCACGGATCTCTAAAAAACACTAACGCAAGAGAGAACAAGAATTGCCTATTTATTGTGTTTGATCTTCAAAGATATAAAGGTTTTCTGTAAAGAAAAAGATAATTCGTTTAGAAATCCAAGGTTTAAAGTTAAAATCATTGCTTAGAGGTTCCCCCAATGTGAAGGTTGCAGTGTATTTTTCCCTATTAAGTGGGTTGCTTAAAACTGGGCCACGCTGCTCTATTTTGGTGCCTCTCACAGCAGGAGGCGTGATATGCTTTGGATTTATAAAAAAAAAAAAAAAAAAAAGCAAATGTAACATGATCTGATCAGACAAAATTTAGCCGGCTTTATTTAAAACCTACTGAAAAACCTACTGAAAAAAAAATTGGATTTCTTTCTAATCATAATATAAACTTTTCTCAACTTTGATTTAATTTGAAATAATCATGTGGTTGATACACGTCCCACTTGTTCATATGCTTTTATTTTTAACTGACGATTTCTATGAATTACTGCTATTTTATTTTTTTGGCCCTATTTGAATGTTTTTTTTTTGGCCAAATTAGTTTTTCCCCTACCATTTCATATAGGGTGTTTTGCTTACATTCTAAGCAATTTAACTAAGTAATTTAACTAATCGATTTTAAGTAATTTTACCTATAATAATAACAATAATGTACGTATTAATCACCTTACATCTACTTCACCGGATGTTGCTGCTGAATTTACATGATTATAGTTAGTTTATATATTACATTGTTTTCTATACATGCATTGTTGTATGGTTGTGTTGAATCGCAGAACACCACCTATTGATTACTAACATTAATACCTCTGTTTTTGTTTTTATCTGTGTGCATATAAAAACAAAGCATGCTTCATAGCCTCCTTGGTTCAATGCTTAGCCTCCCTCTAGTACCTAGAGAGAAAAATGTGGAGCCATCACTGTTGCAGATACCCTCAGAAGAATAAAAAAGATTCTCAATAAGTGGTCCAAATGAGCTCTATTTGATTTTTTTCTCTTAAAAAAAGTAAAACATGAGTTTTAATACAATTTAAGAAGGACTGTAAATGTAAAAAACTCATTTATAACCCTTTGAATAAAACGGAATCTGTTTCATTATTCTGAAAAAAAAAATTTATTAAATGTCAAAGAGACAACATTTTCCTAATAAAGTTAATTCATCGGGTTTTGAATATAAAGTGAGAAATGACAAATAAATACGCCAAAAAATTCAAACCAAATACTGGTAAATATTCAGGTGATTCAACGACTCTGGATAGTAAGAAAAAAACATTTAATTGGCCTTTTAAACATGGATTTTAACATAAGAAGAAAAGACAAAAATCAAACTGCCAGTTTACATTTTTATAGAAATCTAATAGTATATTTTTTTTTAAAACTCATCATATTTAAACAAGATTTTAAAAACAACCTGACAACCCACAATTTTGTGAAAATAAAAAGCACACAAAAAAGTACTTTCTCATTTTATGTTTATTCAGGGTGCATAATATAGATCTGCTCTTATTCTGAAAGTCTGCTGGAATTTCTGGGTCACTTTATCTCTTGTTTTTAACTAAGTAAATTGTTTTTTGTGTCATACCTTCATTAGGATTTGCCAATTGGCCTTGTTTTTGGTATTTCTATTTTTATTTTTTATTTTTTTTCCCAAAGTTTTAACAGCTTTAATACATTTTCCATGTTTAGGCATCCAAAGTGCTGCTTGACATGAAAGGCATCGAGGGAGGAACTCTGTTTCTGGCCCATGGCACGGCTGACGGTAAAATCATCCTCCTCACACAGAAATGTTTTGCAGCATCTTTACTTCTGTAACGTGAATCATAAAGTCCATCTTATTTTTTATGTGAAAAGAATCTTTTAACAGTTAACATGAGTGTCTTTGTGTTTTTGTGCGCAGCCAACGTTCACTTCCAACACTCAGCTGAGCTCATCAAACACTTGATAAAGATTGGGGCAAACTACACTATGCAGGTAAAAACCCCGCTCATCGGTAGATTGGCAGCTTTAATTGGTTGAAATTGCTACTTTGTTTGTAAATTTAGCTGATTTCTGTTCCATACAGAAATCCTATTAAAATTCAATGTTTGCAGATTGATGTAATCCAATTAAAACTCAATAACATGTTTGGTATGTTGAGATTAACACTAAAAATGGAGACAAAAAGTTCAAAAATGAAAATCTGAGTGGTTTAATAATACATATGGAGAAGCTTCTATATAGAGAAAAGGAAGAAGAATGGCCTTAGATATAAGTTAGTTCATCATGGGGGTTTGAAACAGTTGAGGATTCTACAAATAATAGACTGAGAAAAGGCCAATAACAAAAACACAATAAAACTAAACTAGACACAAAGACCATTACAAACCAAGGAGGAAAGTATCAATGAAATAAATGTTAAATTAGATACACAAAAAACAGGAAAAAATGTATGAGACCTAAAGAAATATGACAAATATGGCAAGACCATTTTAGCAATAATTAACAGAGGAAACCAAGCTAAGGAAAGTGAAAATACAAATCAAGGAGTAAACTATAAATGCAGTAAAATCTAACTAAAATAAAAAAAATAGTGAAGAAAAACAAAATATTGAACCTAAAGAAATTATACTTGCAACACAATTTTAACAAAATTCAAAAAACAGAAATAAGCTAAATATGGCAAGAAGTTTTAAACATAAACAAAACAATAAAAACAAAAGTTAAAATTTAAACCCCAAAACATATGATCATCACACTCAGTTCAGTTCGCATTGATTAAATACAATTTTTATAAAAGATCTGATTAGATTCAGGTTAACATGTATTAACAGATGAGTTGTAGTGTGAAAAATTACTAGACTTCACTTGTTTTCATTTGCTGTTTGTTGTATTCTTAAAGTAATATGCTTAATAAAATATCATTAAGCCATTTCTACACTCAATCACTTATTAAATGCAAGTCATTTAATATCCAATATAATCTGATTTAATAAAATTGTTCCTAATCCCACTTCAATCCCAGTGTGGGAGAGTCAGCTTGAAATCCAAACACAGAATTTGCTGATAAATCAACACAAAATCCTTCTTTTTTGGTTTCGGACAATTTACGACCCTGTTGTGAAAGGACCACTTCAGACTAATTGAACATGGTTCAATTAGTCTGGACCATGAACTAATTTTGAACTGCAATGAGAAAAAATATTCATTCTGGCTAGGAAATTATTTTTAATCATTTCATATTTTATGACTTGTCACTCTGCAGCATCTACACATTCTAACCAAATGTAATGCGACAGAATTAATATATATATATATATATATATATATATTGGATAAAATAAACTGAATAGTTTATCCTCAGGTTCAATGAAAATAATTTTATTTATTTATTTTTTTTTTTGCATATTTAAAGTTCCTCGTTCTTGTCTGGGCAGAAAAAGTTTTGATTGACCTTGTTTTTTAATTCTCATGCCTAACTCAGATCTATCCGGACGAAGGCCACTTCCTGTCGACACGCAGCCAGATCCAGCTGACTCAGTCCCTAATTGGATACTTCACAGGATGCTTGCTCGACATGTCGTTGTTACTTGAACAGCGGGACGACGAATGAAAGGAAAAGGGGGCTTATTAATGTGTGCGGTAAACCAAATGTGTGTTTTATACCAGTAGCACCATTATTGACGGACAAAATAAGCTTCTTTGTGACATATCAGACTTGTATAAAATGCTCTCAAAGTGCAGCCGCTGTATATTCAGTGTTGTTAGCGAGACTGTTGTTATCAGCCCTGACTGAGAATTGTAAGGCCTCATTTACCCCCAATGAGATTCATTTGTTGTCTTCTTTTTTAATTTAAAAAGTATTGACCTTATTTATTAATTTCATCTAATTGTAAAGTATTTTACAATTAAATAAACAAAAAATAGGTTTAATCACAGAGTGTAGCACCTGGAGGTGAAATGTATATAGATTACAATAATAAATAGAAAACCTTGGTGCCAAATATTGATATTTTAACCGCAAACTATTCTTTTTTTTTACCCTGATAGAAGATGTATGGATATTTTTACATTGATGAGTAATTTGGACATTTCAATTCCTTTTCTGTTGTGAAATTAGGCCTAAAACCTGAAAGCTGGATTCTGTCTGTTAACCGAGTTTTTAAAAGTTCCTAAAATCATCATGCAAAAAATGTAGAAATTTCAAGTTTGACTTGGATATTCTCTGATTGTGAAAAAAATAGAAACATTTTTTATGATAAAGGGCATAAATATGCAATATTAATACTAGGAAAGCACTCGGACAGCGCATAAATTCTGCCCTATATTGTGACTTACACATATAGGTAAAACATGCACATCATCGTCATTGCCAAATCTAAATGAATTGTTCCTTGGCATAAGGCGCAGCTCTGGTAAAAAAAAAAAAAAATCCATAAAATGCATTGATATGTTTTCAATTTATCCTGCTAACAAACCTTCTAACAAACCTTCCCTTTTCTTGTGTTTTTGTCATCAGTGAAATACCTCCGAAATTTTTTGAGTCCAATGCCGATGCTGTTAATAGTCACTACTGCCACCCTCTGGTTTAGTTGGGAACTGCTATGTTAGAGAATTATGTAAAAAATGACTTTATCCAGATTATGATCTTAACCAAAATTTTATAGATTGTTCATTGGCATGATGTACACCTCTGATAAATCATTAAAATCTGTCCACAACTTTCAAGTTACCCTGTGGACAGACAGACAAACAAACATGCAAACTCAATTAAATTCAGTTTATTTTTTATAGCACCAATTCACAACACATGTCATCTCAAGGCACTTTCCAGTTCACCAGATCATACAGTCAGATTGATTCAACGTTTTCTATCTAAGGAAAACTCTCCTAAAAACATAACCTCCTTGGCTGAAGTACCAAGAATATACCCAGAAATTGTAATATTTTATATTTCCCACCAAAAAAGTTATGATTTAACTTTAATATATCACACTACAAACTTTTACAATATTATTTGGGGAGAATCCAACTGCATAAAACTTAAATATCTTTTCAAGTTATAACAATCTTGCTTTAATTGCAAGAGGAGTCCTACATTTTTGCAGATATGCTTAGCTTCTACGGTAAAACGTATCTCCCCTGCTAGCTGTCAGATAATAAGGCAGTCGAGGATTTTTAAACTTGGATCTTGCACCTAATATCAAGCACATTGTTTTCAAATTCCTGCTAACTTTTACTAAAGATTGGAAGTTAGTCCTTGAGGAACTCCAACAACTGTACGATCACCACAGCCATGTGTTCAGAGGTATCTAGTTATGAAGTTAAACTTTAATTTCTGCCAAACTGATATGCTCAACAATAAATGAACTAATATAGTAGGACCTTTTAACCTTTAGCCACTTAAGGCACTAGACCTGTAACTTTAATGTGAAGCTGCCGCAAAAGTAAAAACATTATCTCATAGTGCAGACTGCAAACGGTAGCTTGTAAGCGTATGTAACTTTATGGCTATTTACTGAAATAGGTTTTAATGAGTTGATGTAAAAAACAATCTTACTCTTGGAGAGAGTCATTTAAGCTGGTAATCTATTGCTGAGTTCAAATTCATACGCTGTATCCTCCGAAGGCCATATTCATAAGCCGATTACACAAAAGCGCGGCACCGAGGTCTGTTCGGGTTCCAAGACTCCTCGTTAGGCGGCCGACAAATGCGTCCTTCGTTTTGCCCATTTTGAAGGACAGGTCCGGTGTATCCTAGGTAGCCTTAGATATCCCGTGATTCAATGCGAGCAAGTCGGCTTCTCCCTACTCAGAGGAAAAAGGTACTTGGCGCCCGAACAGTGGTGAATATTGGAAGTGCAGTTTAATCTAATCTAATCTGAATTTAATGAACATAGTTGTTTTAAATGCATATTGAATCACATATGTGGCGGGTAATGTTCAGTTTATTGAAATGTGTTTATCTGTTCCTGTGGAAATGGGTTTGGCTGATATTTTAGGACAGATTCTAATATATTTGCAGTGTTGGGGACTATAAATCTGATACGGTTCAGCTGTTGAAGCTGCTTGAAAATGTTATTAACACCCAGAACAGCAGTGAGAAGTTCGGTATTCATTCTTTTCCTGCATTGTGTGTCAACTCTCCCGGTTGCTAGGCGACAGAGCGTACGGCGGTAAAAGCCGCGAAAGGCTGGACCTGTTTGAATCAACAGCCAAAACTCTTCCTATCTCTTCATTTTCACGGACCTCGATGGACCGAGTCGAGATAGGCCGGGTCCTTGGACGATGCAGCCTTTGAACTCGAACACACCTAATATTTTTTTTGTTCTCTTTTTGTGCTGGGCTAGTTAAAGGTATACTATGCAACCGGAGTTGATTTTCCAGTGAGGCTCCCCCCAGAGGGCGAAAGTAAAAGTGCACTGTCGTAAATATGCTCAGCTGTTCTCCTGGTTTCTCCGTCATTTCAGGCGCGGTTGTTTTGAGTTTAGCAGACAGAAGAACGCAATAAATCACCATGTCTACTGCGGTAGAGAGCCCTTTTCCTCTTTCTTGCCTGCTCCGACATGGGCTTTCACTGTTTTCTTGCTGGTTCCGCCATGATAACTGCACAAATATCGCCACTGCGCTAGCAACGAGTATGCCTTTCACTGGGGGGCATGTAGCAGTTCTCGCCGTAAAGCAAGACCGACTCTCGCGATGCAGGAGACTTCTGAGCCTGTGGGTGCGGGCCGAGGGCTCCTGCAATTGCAAGTACGGTATTTCCCCTACAGACCACCAGGGCGGCCGAGAATACCTTTGTTCAACCTGAAATGACTCATTTAATCATCCAAAACGTTATGGAACACATTAATTAACTGAAAAATGTTGCATAGTATGCCTTTAAGAGCAGAAGGAGCCAAGCTCAGATTAAAGCATGAAGGTTTATTTCTGATTTAAAGAACCTGATGAATATTACTGGAAAAAGAGCTTTACTACCATGAGAAAAGCAGGTAAAGTTAGCTCTCGTGTTAAAAGGGCACTCAGACAGCCATAAAGTGGCGATCTGGGTCACATGACCTATTCAGTGATCGAGCTGATTCATTTTCAAGTTATATAGGTGAGTTAAATACTGTGTTAAAGACCTGAAAAAACATTCAGCATACTGTATCTCAAATTAAGCTTATTCTCAAAACATGTATGTGGTTCTTTAAAATAAACCAAAAAAAAACATATTTTTGGATATCATCTGAATTAATGTTATCAGTTGTTAGCTTCTAATCGTTGGGGAGAGCCAGTGGAAGTTGAAAATAATGGGTTAAATGTTTTCTGTCAAGGTTGGGTGGAAGTTGGTTGAGGACCCAAAGGCAGAGATGAGTTCTTGCAGTTTTATTTGATGTGGTAGCAACAGAAGATTAAATCCAATCAATGACCTGCAGGGAAATCAGGAACCAAAACACAGAGACACTCAAGAGGACCATGTAGTAGGAATGGAGTAATGAAGAGAAACCAGCACAGGAGGAGAATGGGTGGTGTTCCCTTTCAGAGGCTGCGTCCTCCAAGGATCTGGGCTAACTGCACTGGGACCCTGGATGTTCATGAAAATTAGGAGGCCGGAAGAGTTTCGGCTATTGATTCAAACAGTTCGAGTCTTCTTATGCATTCACTGCCCCTCTCTCTGTTCCCCAGCAACAATAGTTGATGCACAAAGAAGGCAAAGAATGGAAACCGAACTTCTCACTAGTGTTCTGGGTGCTAATAACATTTTCGAGGAGCTTCAGCGGCAGTACATTCGTCATGAATGTCATATTTATAATCCCAACCCTGCAGAGATATCCGCTGTTGAGCAAGTCCCAATGCTGTATCTGGTGTTTGCCATTACGTGCTATTATCCAAGTCATCTTGAAAACATCTTTGAAATGCTGGCTACATATTAGGTGTTTTTTCTCTGGCCAGAAGTTCGAAAATCGAACCTCTTCAACTTGTCAATCCAACGATGACCCTGTGGTGCATCATGAATTGGAAAGGTGAAACTTTTACCCACTGTATTACAACATGCATCTGCCATGCACATGGGCATTGTCTATTTTACTATAGCTCTCGTCAATTTCAATGGTGAAGTCCTCTCGAAATCTTAAGTAATTGTTGATTGCAGTTGTGTCTGGTACTTCCCATTGATTTTGCTGGTAAAGCGGGGAGAATGGCGCTAAGCTTACCGCATCGTGACATCACTTATATTTGGGCAAAAATGGCTGTTCGTCAGGGATTTCGACAAAAATGATTGGTTTCAGTTTATTACTGATTTGAATTAAATAAACCACTGTGAACGCATTAGTTTTTAGGTATAAATAATGATCCATTGATTATTCCTTCCTGACCGGACTTGTAAGGACCAGCCAAGTACCAGAGAAGGAAAGTGGGAAATTCTTAATGGCTACTACTGTAGGATACACCAGACCTGTCCTTCAAAACGGGCAAACAGAAGGCTGCAATATTCGGCAACCGAGGTGTCTTCCAATCCGAATAGACCTTAGCGCCATGTAATGACGTAAACGGACGAAGCTGGCCTTCGGAGGATGCAGATCCTGAATTCAAACTCAGCATATGTATGGGAGACTGGGTTGATCAGCTGACAAGAAGCAGGTGTGGATAGAAGCAACTAGAAGCTAGGGGAGATGAGACTGGCACAACGGGGCAGTAGAGAGTAACATGAAAAAATGGCTAGAAAGCAACTACAATGACACAAAATGGGGAAGAAACCAATGACCAAGAAAACGCAAAGCAACTGAAAACTCATTAAAAAAAAACAAAAAAACAACAGCAGTCCACAAAGGACACAACCATGATATTTTCTTTCTGTTTAGCTCACCTGAACCGCTGTTACAGATAAAATAAGTATTTTATATATTGCAGACAACAATTCATCCCCTCTGTAAAGAATTGTTGGTTTTCATTTTTCAACATCAGAGAATATTCCAAGTTTTTTCTTGCAAATATTTGTAATTAATTAAAACATTTCTGAGGATTTAGGCTGAAATGTACTCCTATGTGGCTAAATGTTATATTTCTTTCTTTTTTTTTTTTTTTTACCAACAATAGGTCCGTGTACTCAATCATAGGTCTAAGATAGAAAAGCCTGACCCATGAGTGTATAGTTTATCCTCATTTTTTAACATTAGGACATCATTTCGGGGTGACTCAGTCTCGGCTTGTTGTACACAGCAGTAACTCTAACTAAATGTGCAATCTTAGAGGTTAAAGTGTGTTTTCTTAAGTCTTCTGGGTGTTTGTACAGATTTATTTATTTATTACTATTAAAAGTAGGCTTTTATTTAAATGTCGCACCAGTTTTGTGGTGTTTTTCTTTTGTGTCCAGGTGACAATATTACATATTTTCTGCCATTTAAAATGTGTTTTTTTATTTTTCGTTTATTTCTTTTTACATGCAACCTTCATTGGGAGTACTTTTAAGTCCCTTAATGTTTCTTTAGTTTCCCTAAATGTCAACACTCAAACAGTGTTTTGCTTTTAAACTAATTTCCTGTTCGTGTGGTGCACATTTCCAGTAGAGTTAGTGCACTCCCAGCCGCTTGAGGATCTTTTCTTCTCTGAAATATGTCCTAGTTAAAGTGTGGGTTCATAAAGCTCTTCATTTAAAAGCTCTGTGTGTGTCCAGAGCAACAGAGTGAACTCCTCTGCGTGATTGTGGGTAAGAGAACGAGTCGCACAATTACCGTCCGCCTCACACGAGGGCCATTAATCACAGGATGAGTGTTCTGGACGACGTGCGCTCAGCATTTGGAGTTCATTTCCATATGAAAAACACCAGGAAAGTAAACAACCAAGCGGCATTTACAGCCAACCATGGAGGCGAGTAACCTGAGCGGTCAGATGTGGACACAAAAAAATATTTCTAACATTACATGGATGATATAACTCCCACAAATCCATATCTATACCTGCTTTATGATGGGAAAAAAAGAGAAAAATCTGGTTTAGAGAAGAAACTTAGGTTGTTGGCTTGTACTACTTTTCTGGAAACTGCAATTAATTTTGGATGAATGATGAAAAAGCTGTTGTAATCTTTTGCTGTTTTATTATTAAAGATTACTGAAATATTCTCATTGGGGTTTACTTTGATTAAAAGAACCAAATGAAAAGAACACCTGTCCACCTTACAACACATACCTCTTGCTCAAATGATGCTGTGATACACTATTACATCTCCATGCATTAAAATACAACAGAAATATTCAATTATTTCAGGCTTCAATCAGAACTGATGGCTGGGGATCCGTTCTAATGAAAACCAAAATTACTTAATATTAGATCAGACACATAAGAGCAAAATTTTTAAATGTAAAATTGTATGTTTAGCCCTACGCCATCATTGTTTCAGGAGGGACTTATGTGCACATTTTACAGGTAAGGGAAGCAGTAAAAAGTCATTGATGAACACAAGCTGTTATATCCGATAATTACCCATGGAAAGTTAAGTTTAAGGAAAACAAGGGAAAAATGACCCAAATCCAATAAAAGCAAGATAGTTTTAATTATCTTGAAGTTTTTTTTAGAGGTATACAGTCAATGAAAAGAATACATACTGTCACTAGTTGCAATTACATTACAAATACCTGCAAAACGATGTCAATATTGTGTTAATTTAAAAAAAAAGTAGTTTTGTTTCAATTGTGGTAATTCTAATAATTAAGAAATGCAACTAACTTGCACGCAAATATGTTTGTTTAAGCAAACAACAGCATGGTATTGGCAGATGTAGATATATAAATTTTTCAGCCACAGTTCTAATGCTCACTGGGCTCATTGTCACAAACTAACTACCGTATAAAAAAATATCCAGTCTCATTGTGAATGAAAATATGCCTTTTAAATGGCAGTTAGGTCCAGTTACAGATCACCTGACTGTGAAAAATGCATTTCCTTTGCAGTTTTGCGAAATCTAAAGTTTCAGTATCATCAGAGTATCAAAACATTTTATCAAAATTGCAGTGTTTCTATTTAGCAAATGTATGTTTGTAATTACAATTTGAGCAATTTAATGTTTTATTGATGCTAAATGCTATTGACTGCATTTGAGGGAAAGTCACAAATGGTCAGTACTGTAAAAGCTGGGTGTTTGTCCAACCTTCATAGGGGAAAATTTAGTGGAAGGATAAAGTGTGGTTATACGATTTTACATCAGCAAAGGTTTTACTCCTGTTTTATTCCTGAAATTAGCAAGAGAAATAGACAAGACAACTGACCAGAAGAAAAACAAACTGAACTAATATGGAAAACCCCTAACGCATAATAGAATACGGCAAGACCCAAATATAAAAACTGATAAAAGGGTTGAGGAAAAACCAATAAAAACGGATTCATAATGTTAGCATAAGAGAGAACTAACAAAAGTAAATAAAAAAACTAAAAAGAGCCCCTAAAATGATAGTCCATTTTTAACAATAAAACGTCTTTAAGCTCCTGGTTAGCACATGTATCAAAGCAAGGGACAATCTTCCCTATATATGCTATATGCTTTGAATTCATGGAATTATTAGATGACGTTGGTAATTTCCACTATTATTTTAATGGTATTTAGCTAAATTTGTCCATAAATCCAGATTAAGCAATGTTTAACTCATGCAGGTTCAGGACCTGAACCTGCATGAGTTTATATTTGTGCTTTTAAATTCAGAAAAGACATAAATTATCATCTTCGGACTAGAATCTTTGTAAGAGACGCTGTTTAGTCAGTTGGAGGGTATTCAAATAGCTTAGTAATGTAAAAAAATAAATAAAACAAGTTTGTATTGTAATTGTTATCAGGAAGTCCACAAAATATATTTAAAAGCCTTAAGGTGATGCAAAGCATTGATTCAAGTTCAGATGAAAATAAAAATGAAAATTTTTTATTCTCCCTATTTAGTTTCCATTTATCTCCCTGATAAAAATAGAGCAGAATTTAAAATGATTAATTTCAAGTTTTTAAATAACCAAGCTCCATCTAATATCAGAGATCTGATTGTTCCTTATGTTCCTAACAGAGCACTTCGCTCTCAGTCTGCAAGTTTACTAGCGTTTCCTAGAATTCCTAAAAGTAGAATAGGAGGCAGATCTTTTAGTTATCAGGCTCCTCTCCTGTGGAACCAACTACCAGTTTTAGTTCATGAGGCAGACACCCTGTCTACTTTTAAGGGTAGGTTTAAAACTTTCCTTTTTGTTAAAGCTTATTGTTGGAGTGGCTCAGGTTATCCTCACCTGTCTCTATAAGTATGCTGCTTTAGGCTTAGACTACTGGAGGATAAGGCAACACTTTTCCTCAGTTTGCTTCATCCTATCTCTATTCTCTAAGTCTACAGTATTTCTTAGTTCAACCCCTAACTTTATGTTCTCACTGCTTTTTCTCATCACAGTTGCTTCCTTTACACAACTTCAATTATAGACGTTAGAGTTGGATGTATGTTTCGGTGTGTAGGCCCAATTCTCTACTGGAAAGAGATATAAGCTTGTTTTGCTGCAACTAAATGTTTATGTATGTAGCTCAGAACCCATCCACTTATCAGTGTTTCTTTCCTAGACAGAGCCACCTATAACGCTAGTTTACATGACCTTTTCTTACATTGAAAGTATTAATGGAACAGTACTTCCATGTACCTTTTGAGGGTCTGCTCCTGGCTTTTCCAATTGAATTACAGAGTCTAGTTCTGGAGGTTACTTCCTGTTAAAAGGGAGTTTTTCTTTTCCTCTGTTGCTTCATGCATGCTTGGTGTGAGGGATTGCTGAACAGTCAATGGCACAATGCAAGGGAATGTCTACTGCATGCTTATCCAGGAGTAAATTCTGCAAGTCAATGACTTAATGCAATCAGTTGCGTTTCCTTAGATTGAAAACTTTTAACAAATCTGTCCGGATGATTTGATTGACGCTGTAGTGACTTGAGTTGAAGTGTTGTAAATTGGTGCTATATGACTAAAATGAATTGAACTAAACTATTGTTAATAGAAATAATGTAAATCTTAAAACACATCTTTCATTTCCTGGAGTTTTGGGATTAAAAAGATTGGCTCACTTGGTTTCCAATTCATATAATCCAAAATTTAAAAGTTAGTTGCAACCAAGAGAACCTGTTTTAATGAAAGTTGAGATTTTAGTGGTTTTCATCTGTTCAAGCGATGCCTTTTATCTTCTTCTTGACGGACTGAGTGGCAACCGTCGACTGAGCTACAGTGTTGACTGAAAATTATGCAGAAGTAGAACTTGCTGGACTGTAGCTGCATTTATCATTCCTTCTTTCCTTCGCGACCTTCTCTAAATCCCCTGTCCAACACTGGCGAGACTAGGCTTGAACTGTGCCGTAATTATATCAAAGCAATTACAGAGCCAATATGAAGGCCTCGTCCACAGAGGAGGGAAAGAAAAGGCAGCAGAAGAAAGTTTCAGAAATTGAAACCTGCTACAGGAAATAAGTTAGTCTTTGCCAACTTATTTCCTCTACAGAAAATATAACTAGTGGGGAGAACATTTTTCAAAAAACATTAAGAAAAAATTGTATAATTTCCACTCAACTTATTTCACAGCTGAGATTTATTTTACAAGAGGTTATACCGAGTTAAACATTTATGTAGTTCTCTCAATGCTTGCTAATTAAAAAGTATTCAAAATTCTCTCAAAGGTCAGGCTTTTACATATCTATAAATATACATCATATTGATTTTGATTGAATTAATGTTTTATATGTCATTTGTCTGGACTATCTCTTTTCATTTTACCATAATGTAATGATTCATGTCCTCTCATATTAGGTCTACACTGCCATCTGGTGGCCAAATACGCTCATCTCATCAATCTAGCTGTTCCAATATTAGTTTTTGCTTTATAGTCTTTGTTGGTAAAAAATTTGTATTCTTTTTTTTATTCGGTTTATTTATCATCTCAAGGCTCTTTACAGTTCACCAGATCATACAGACACATTGATTCGAAGTTTTCTATCTAAGGAAAACCAGTGGATTGCATCGACTCATTGACTCAAATGCAATCCCTCAACCTAAGCATGCTTGTAGCGACAGTGGACAGGAAAATGTCCCTTTTAACAGGAAGAAACCTCCAGCAGAACCAGGCTCAGTGTGAGCGGCCATCTGCCGAGGCCGACTGGGGTTCAATTTCAACCTACCAATTTTACTCATTGATGAAATATATGTCAGAAAGGTGAGTTGTCTCAGTTTAAGGATAAAAAAAATTATTTAGACAGTTTATGTTGGTGTAAATAGCTTTATTAGAAAATACATTTTCCTTTTTTTAGGAGTTAGTTTTTCATAAAACGAAACACCATGGGATTTAACTTGTTAAAACTGCTATACAACAGCGTTTAAAAATGGTCTGTAAGCCACCATTAAACAGAACAGCACTCATTCAGCTTCTGAATGAGGTTTCTCAGGTGTCACAACTAATACTCTTCCCCCTCCTCGTCCTCTTCGTAGGAGTCAATGCCAACCTCCTCATAATCCTTCTCTAGGGCGGCCATGTCCTCTCTGGCTTCTGAGAACTCTCCCTCCTCCATTCCCTCTCCGACGTACCAGTGGACGAAGGCTCTCTTGGCGTACATCAGGTCAAACTTGTGGTCTAGTCGGGCCCAGGCCTCGGCAATGGCTGTTGTGTTGCTTAGCATGCACACAGCTCTCTGCACCTTTGCCAGGTCGCCACCCGGAACCACAGTTGGAGGCTGGTAGTTAATGCCCACTTTGAAGCCAGTGGGGCACCAGTCCACAAACTGGATGCTGCGCTTGGTTTTGATGTTGCTGATGGCCACGTTGACGTCTTTGGGCACAACATCACCGCGATACAGGAGACAGCAAGCCATGTACTTTCCATGACGGGGATCGCATTTCACCATCTGGTTGGCCGGTTCAAAGCAGGAGTTGGTTATTTCTGCGACAGTGAGCTGCTCGTGATAAGCCTTCTCTGCAGAGATTACCGGGGCATAGGTGGCTAAGGGGAAGTGGATGCGAGGGTATGGCACCAGGTTGGTCTGGAACTCTGTCAGATCTACGTTCAATGCTCCATCAAAGCGAAGGGAGGCAGTGATAGAGGAGACAATCTGACTGATGAGACGATTCAGGTTGGTGTACGACGGACGTTCAATATCAAGGTTCCTGCGGCAGATGTCGTAGATTGCCTCGTTGTCCACCATGAAGGCACAGTCGGAGTGCTCTAGGGTGGTGTGGGTGGTCAGGATGGAGTTGTAGGGCTCAACTACAGCTGTGGACACCTGAGGAGCTGGGTAGATTGCGAACTCAAGCTTGGACTTCTTGCCAAAATCTACCGATAGACGCTCCATGAGCAGAGAGGTAAAGCCTGAACCAGTTCCTCCTCCAAAGGAGTGGAAAACCAGGAACCCTTGGAGTCCTGTGCACTGGTCGGACTGAAAAAAACAAGACACAACTTACAATGGGAGAAAAGACTGAAACATAATTTTAATCATAACAAAAAGATAAGTTAAACTGACGATGCATTTCTTGCCCTTGTAAGGGCAAGGGCATTTTGTAGAAGAAGATTTTGTACATTCAGATCAATTCCCTTTTGTAGAGAGGAGTCTGCCAAAAAGACATCATTATAAACCAGATTTGCTAAAAGTCTTTACAACAATACCAATAACACAATCAATCAGAAGATGTGTGAAAACATAAATAGGCTATAGATTTGGCATATCTTTGTTTCTCTTGGTCAAAGTGGTACGGCAGTTTTTGCCTGAAAACTATTTTTAAATCAACACAATGTGAAGAGGCTTTGCCCTGTAAACCCTCCTTTACCCAACTGGTATCAAACAATGTTGATAAAAATGAATATTGTGATAGAAATTCTGTAATTCTCATTGCAGAATTGCTTTCATTTATTTACATTGGAGGGTTTTCAAGTGTTAACAGCTGGTTTATAGTCTTAACCACTACTGTTTAATTATCCTTCTCACCAGTTTGCGGATCCTGTCAAGGACAGAATCTATGTGCTCCTTTCCAACAGTGTAGTGGCCTCGGGCGTAGTTGTTGGCAGCATCTTCTTTTCCTGAGATTAGCTGCTCAGGATGAAACAACTGACGGTAGGTTCCGGTTCTAACCTCGTCTGAAAGAGAATAACGGTTCGAAAAAAGGTTAAAGCTGCATCAGTTTGGAAAGTGCTTCTTTCTCCACAGAAATTAGGGTTTGGGGCTAACTGATTGGAGTAAAGCTAACAAATCGTAAAGGCTCGGCTAATTAAATCTATGTGGGTGGAGCCATGATAAGGTGATGGGGTGTGGCAAAGAAAGTAAATTTGATTGGTTTAGTTAAACATAAGGTGGGTGGAGCTTATCCATAAAAAGTTTGAACAGTTTGTGTGGGGCTAATATAAATAGACATGGGAGGGGCTTATTATCTAAGTTATGCTTTATGATCGGTTTACATTTATGTTTACATTAGTTTAACTATCTGAAGATTTCTATGGCATTTCTTATGTAGATGTTACAGAAATAAATGTGTTCCTGTCAAATAATAAACATATATTAGCAAGTTTTCTCTCATGTCTAACCACTGATGGAAAGAACAGTTGCTAATCGACTTATTATGTTTGCTTATTGTTTTAGGCATGCGCCAAACTAAACAAACCATTAACAGACTATTGAAAGGTTCCACCTTCTTTCACTGGAAATCTACCTTTTGTTTCATCTGAAAACAAGTTTTTGTTGCTCTAAACTTTACAATATGCTACCAGAAAAGCTGGTTTGACACACACACACACACACAATAATGCTGTTAACAGGGGACATTTTGCCCCCAAAGAGAGCGGTGGAGGTTCTCACCAATGACGGTAGGCTCCAGGTCCACAAAGATGGCTCTGGGAACGTACTTCCCCGTCCCGGTCTCACTGAAGAAGGTGGTAAATGAGTCATCGTAGCCACCGCTGGGCTTATCTTTGGGCATTTGGCCGTCGGGCATTATGCCATGCTCCAGACAGTACAACTCCCAGCATGTGTTGCCCATCTGGACACCGGCCTGGCCGACATGGATGGAGATGCACTCTCTCTGAGGAGGAGAAGAAAAACAATATAAACAGATGGGTTCCTTTGGGTTCTTGTGCAAAGCAAAAGTAAAAAAAGAAAGAACAAAGAGATTTTTTAATTAGATTTAGACCAAACTTGTAAGAACTTGCTGAAGCTGTCAGTTGAGCGCTTAAAAAAACAGGGAGGAGTTTCCACTGCAGCCAAAACAGTCTTCTACAAAACTATTTAGACCCACTGAAGGTTTGTTAAAGCCATAAGAAACTTTTTCTAAATGGGAATATATGGGCAGGAACACCATCTGGTCAGATGAAGCCAAAACTGGACCCTTTATTCTGCATTCAGTACAAATTAAATGGAGGAAAATTGACAAAGCAGCCATGAATACATTTTCCATACAGTGATACACAGTGGTGGCAGTATCATGCCATGCTGATGATGCATAAAAAACCTCTAGGCAACCTTGTGCCATGATGTTAACCTTCTAACATGACAATTCTCCTAAATATGAAGCAAAAGCAACAATAGAACAGCTTAAGCTCCAATAATTCATATATTTAAATGGTCTACTCAAAGTAAGTCTAATTATGGATCTAATAAAATACTCTCAATCTGATGCTCTTAATGGTGCATCATACTGCCACCACCATGTATCATAATGGTGACATCCTGTTCAAGATAATGTACTTTTAATTAGACAAATATGCATCTTAAAGAAAATTCAAAGAAACATTAAAAGAAAACTGCTAAGATTGCGATGTAAACATCCCACAGCATCATACTGTCAACCCTGTGTTTCACTGTTGGAACTTCATGTTCCAGTGGATGTACACCATCCAGTTTCACACTAACTTTGCATCCAATTAAAACCCACTAAGTTGGCCGTTTTCTAATGCTCCCAAAAAAGGATTTGAATGCGTTTGTAAGGAAACGTCTCTATGATCTGAAATCAACCACAGCTTCACACGTATGACTCAACAGTCGAAAGTAGTGGCACTAAAAACAGATTATAAAAAAAGAATGGGGGGGAGGAGCTTCTCATTATCGCAAAATCATCATTTGTCTGCAGGGGCCAAAAGTGCCTCCACGCCCTGCCAAAGTATTTATCTAGCTGGTTGTAAAGGTAGGGTGATGGTTGAGGATGTGACGGGTGTGAGCAAACAGAGCGTCGAAGCAAGCTTGGAGGGAAAGTTTTGTTTTGTTTGAGAAGCTGTTCTTGCTAGCTCCATATAGTTATAATCAATAACTCAGGGTTTATTCTGAGCCAGCTATGTTTAGCTGCTGCTCTAAACAGTGAGGCAATGACGTGAAATTCTTTGCATGACTCTTTGCTGATAAAAAGCTTTTACATAACATTGTTATCGCAGTTAGAGAATCATTAAAAATCCCTCTTGGGTCCTGTTTTAGCTGCACAAAGAGGAGAAAACAGTCGTTTTGGAGCATTTAAAATGCTCATTTAGAGGAAAGGAGAGGAGAGGAGAGGGGAGGGGTCCTCAGCTGCTATGTTTGGCAATAACAGGCAGCTATTTTGAGTCTGGTGCTGCTCCCTCCACACATAGCTCGCCTTTAACCCACTAACCTCATCAACTAATCGCATGTAGAAGTTTATCTGCGGATTAGTTTAAAAAAAAAATCTTTAGGAGGTGATTTCTGAACAGATTTGAGGGAATGTGGGGTGTGGCGGCGTGCTGCGACACGCTGCGCTGATTTGGCCTCACGGGCCAAAGAAGGGACTGGTGAAGGGGGTGGAGGGAAATCATCTGCTTCGTCTATGTTGTCCCGCCTGAAATCAGGTCAGGCATGGAGGTCAAACACAGTAGATCTTTGTGCTACGCAGGAAAAGGAAAGAGCTGGAAGGGCTTATTGACGGGCCCCACTGAACAATTTTTGGGCCCTCATTTAAAAATCGAGGCAGTTGTTAAAAGCTTCCTTTTCCTGTAGTCAAAAACCAGCAGAACCGGCCTGAGTTCCTGTAAACTTCAAACATTACAACATCCAAACTGTTTGCATTCATTCTGCAAAAGTCAAAGTCCAGCTTTCTGGGTTCCCTCCATGTAAAGTTATGCTCTGAGCTTCTTTTCACGAGTGTTCTGTAAACAGTCACAAAGCCACATCAGCAGTCCCCCAGCAGACAAGCAGTCCACATATGGAAACAGTTAACCTTGACAGGCTGGCATTCTGTTGCACTGCTACTGTTGGGGGCCCAGATGCAACATGAAGCAAGAGAAAGGAAGTGTGAAAGCAGGAAACAGTGAGTCACAATTCAAACTTCACTGAAATATATAAATATTAATAGAAAGGATCCATTTTCTTAACTTGATGAAATGAATTAAGCGTCTTTATCAGCAATACTCACCATTTTCTTGTCTTTTTCTGGAGGGGAAGAAGGAGAAGTTTAGAGTAGCGGTTCTCACAGTGCAACCTTAATGGGATGTCTGTGAGTGAAGTCCTGTCAGTGTGGGAGGGTGAAAGCTTTATATAGCAGCAGAAAGGGGTGGAGGAGGAGGAGCCCACAGCAGCCGCTCTACTTTCTTCAACTCTTTCTCTTCCTGAAAAATGACTGAAAGCTTCCTGCTTTCCTTTCATCATAAAACCCGCTGGAAAAACTTGCACATTTCAAATTAAAGCGATACACAGAATCAATATTCTTTGATTTTTTTGTATTTTGTGACATTGCAACCGCAATATTAAATAGGTTTTTGGAGGATTTTATGCAGTAAGCTCACGCATATGATAAAAAAGAAGGTTTTACAAATAGAAATCAGAACCCTGAACACCCCTTTATTACAATGGAACATGGAGGTGGCAGCATCATGCTGTGGTGCAAGTCTTTACATTTTTAGTTCTTTGTGAAAAAGCTCAGGTTTATTAGAGCTGTCATCATCTGTTTTCATTTTCTCCCAATTTTTTTATTTATTTTTTTGACCTGGAGAATCTTTCTATATGGCTTTCTGCCCAGGAAGGCACAGTTTAAGGGGTGCCACAAAGAAAATAATATAGACTATATCTATAGACTTTATTTATGGGTTATCTGCATGTTTACTTAAGCAGTTGCTGATGCTAATTTTAGAATAGCATTTAGATTGGTGCTGCGTTCAAGGGCATTTTATTTTATGTGGTGTTTATAAGCAGAAATACATTTAGCTACCTGCCTTTCTGAACATATAGAATGCTCAGATTATCTTTACTTATATAAAGCATTATATAAAACGTCCCACAGGATGATGCTTCCTTCTTCATGTTTTATTTAAGGGTTGTGTGTAATTATCTGCAGACTTAGATGACCAGCAAACATGTCATTTTGGAAAGTATCATGTCTAAATAAAGTGCTCCACTTATTTTTTTTTAGTTTTTGTTAAGTTGCAAGAGATACTTTTTTCTAATATTAAAGGTCTAGCCAAAGAGTTTTGCTGCTTTTATAGTACTTGGGACCAGGAATACTCAGAAACGACTTATTTTATTTTTCTCTCAGCTGTTTATTGGGTTTTAATCACATAAAGGATCATTTAAAGTAACAAGCATTGAGTTTTATTGGTTATTATCACAAAGCTCAACTATATAAACAAAGAAGAGAAATAAAACAAACAAAAATAAACATACAGCCTCCATGTTTTCCTGGAAGAAGCAGAAGACTTTAGATTTTCTCCATGTTAATTAAAATAAAAGAGGTTCCTTATCCATTGATGGCAGGTTGGCAGAGTCTGGATTTCCCAATTAATTATGGACCAAACGTCAAACTAAAAGGTTACAAAAAATACCAGGTTCTGCATATTAAAAAAATACTTAAAAATATGGTTATTTTCAGAGATTTTTCTTTATAGGATGTTGATATTTGTGGGAAATTTTGTTACAAAGGACATTTTTCCAACCTACTGACAAGAAACATAGATCCAAAGATCTAAAAACTGGACACGCTGAAAACTCCTGTACTAAACAGTAAAATTAACAAGCATTTTTTTTTCCCATTCTAAGAAACTGTCTGTAATAATGATAAAACCTAAAAGAGCATACGTCACAGAGAAAGTGGAGCATAATCTGCATGAAAAATCAGTATGACTGTGTAGAAAGTAACATTTGGAGCTTCAGTGATTTTATGGAGCTCCACTGTTTGAAAAAAAAAAAAAAACAACCTTACAGGTATTTGTAAAATAGGAGTTTAAAACTTATTTTTGCATCTGTTCATTAGAAAAGTCCAAAATTTCAAAGCTATACTAGAATTATCACATCTTATAATAGTCCAAACCAAGCTTTTGCTTATGTAATTCACTTTTCAGCCACTAGAGGGAGTGCTGATCATTTATTATTGTGTCTCGTGCTCCTCATGTGGTTGCCTGTTGACTGACTTTACATTCACGTCATAGATTAGACTTCCCAGTCCACTCTCTGTCATTATTTCACTCGTTTTAGCCAATTAATAAAGATCAACATTAGTTTATGGGAAGTATTTCTAGAAAAGTCAAGGGGTTGAATGTGTCTAAGAAAAGAAAGGATGAGTCAGTAGTATCATAGATATACAATTTCCAGACAGTCTGTGAATTTTCATTAGGTGGATAAACAGGCACGGGTAAATATCTAGATTAAAGTACTCAGAGTTCTTGTTTTGCCCCATTTTTTTTGTAACAAATTGGTGTATATATATATGGTCATCCAGGGTGGGAAAATCCAAAGATCTTAAACTAAAGGCATCTGGAAAACAATAATCTATGATGTCATGTTCTCATATGTTTCCAAGTCTTTCCACATCCACTTTAAGAGTAAATAAAATAAATCAGGATGAGACACAAGACAAAGGGCCCATTTTGCCTCTCTTGCATCTCTGCTCGACAAATTTACTGGAAATCTTTGAGAGAAGTCATCTTTTCATTTTCGTTCATGTTTAGAATGGCAGAGGGGCTCTGTTTGCGACAGCAGAGAAAAGTCTTTGTGAACTTCTTCTGTCCATCATGATTGTCTGAAACTCACAGCAAACATCTCACCAGGCCATCGCCTCAGATGGGGGACATCCTCATAATCCTCAAACCAACCTCCAGAGCCCTCCTGAGCCTTTGACTCCTCTTCAAACAGCACCAATCATCTTTTTAAAGAAAGAAAGAGAAAGATTGTGATCAACAGATAATAAATCTCTTTTTACAGGAGGCGGGCTGTCTATGGATTGTTTTTTCCCTACATCTCTCCTGATCGCTACTGATGCTTATTTCTGCCGCTTTTCTTTAGCTTATACGAAGTCTAAGTCTGTCTTTTGTTATTAGATGAACAGATCAAGACAAAAGATAAAAATTCAGACGTATGATTGTGTTTTTATTGGGTTTACCTTCTTTAAAAGCTTGGATTTTTATCCATTAGGACTCATAAAAGTCATATTTGTGGACATTCTTGTTACAAACTTTAACGATTAAAGTTGCTAACTGAAGCTAGCCGACAGGGAGGTTGGTTTTCTTGCGGTTTGGATTCTGTCTCCTGAGCCAAAAAGCTGAACTATGGTAGAAAGAAGCCCAACACCAGAAAAACAGTCAGTGAGAAACTTTTAGGACATAGGACCTCCGACTGAACGCCACAATTAATTGGTAAACAGAGGAGTTTGTGGCTTTTCCTGTGAAAAAAAAAATCCCACATCATTACTCTGCCACCGCTAAGCCTGAAAGCAGGTTTTGGGAAGGTTTTTCTCCAAATATCTCTGCATCGGTCATTCATTCATTTCGTGAAACACCAATTATCCAGGGGCGGAGCTAGATGGGGGGACAGGGGTGGCTATGGCCACCCTAAGCCAATCACTGGCCACCCCTACCACTTTTCCCCCTCTAATACAGTAATAATCTCAAGTGGAATATTCAAACCATTTTAATTTTCATATATTAACATTTACTTGCCAACAAATATACAGCGGTTAATTATGCACATAAATATACTGAAATTCAAGCTAAGTACATAATTCCTGCTCTTTTCAGAACTAGATTTTGTGTTATATGGGGTAAAGAGAAAATTATGTCTCTGCAAGTCATCTAGGAGTCTTCAGTGAAATCATAGATAAATAACTATTTTAATAAAAACGTATTATATAATGAATTTATGTAGATATTTTTACTTGTAAATATCTTTTTTTGCAGAATGATTGATAAAAATAAGTAATGGCAATGAAAACGATGTTTGCCCCAGAACCTAAACCTGAAAGAATTATATCCACCATGTATGCTTCTATTAGCAAAGGCTGTAGGAAAGGATAGTTTGTCTTCATTTAGAAAACATGGATGTTTTGCTTATTAATTTTCCTGTTGGAACAGTGTAGCTCAACCCTGAGATTCTGGCGCCTTTCCACTTATAGCCACCCCTCAACTTACATTGGTTATTGAATGGCCACCCTTTTAAAAAATTTCTGGCTACGCCTCTGCAATTATCGCAGATTTCTTTCTACTCTGCTGTCACTCCTGATTATCTATACCAGGGTTTCCAAACTTTGAAACCTGGGACAAAAAATAACATCTTTCCAAAGTCTAAAATTACATAGATCTACTTCGCATTTTACTTATTTATACATATAAAGTGGAAAAGCTTTTTTTTTATTTATTTTTTTTTTTTTTTATAAAATAATATATTTTTTTGATATAAAAATAGTTCTTCAATTCATTATTTGAAATGGATTCTAAATTATTAATAGATGTAATGATTTAATTGTGTATATAACAGTTTTTTTGTATATTTAATATTTTAATGGTGTAATAAAGTAAATATATAACATCTACATTTCATGGTATATTTATTTACTTCATGAGACATTCATGGCCTCCAAAAAACCAAATTTCAAATTTAATATTTAAATCATGCAATTTGAAATCCAATGTTAAAAGCATTTTGTAATTCCACCTATTAAATTGAACAGCTGCTCTCCTCCGCATTGTTATCGTCCAACTGGGGAAAGCAGAAGGGTCATGAAAGAAAAAAAAAAGAAAATGGATAAATACAATTTTAAAATCCTCTTCAATTTAAAATGTGCAATTAAAAAATGCACTTCAAATCGGATTACAAATTGCATGATTTAAATATTAAATCTAAAATAGCTGTTTATTTCCTTTTTTAGTGACTCTCTAGATCCTCCAAACTAGATCCTCTCTATGTGACTTGACTACCCAGGGGATCCCGACCCTTATTTTGGCAACCCCAATCTAACAACCTTGCAAATAAACTATATCTAAGCGGGAGAGAAAATCTCATACTAATCCCTTGGCTTCCTGTTTCTATATATTAGTCCTTTAAACCCCTTTTGCTCAGGTTTGTCTTTATTTGTTTGATTTAAATACATAAAAACTGAATGTTAATTTCAGATGAAGGACTCCCCAAAGGTTCAGAAACAATAAGACGCTCTAATCCATTTAATTTACTGTCGGTTTAAAGACAGAGTTGCTAAGTGGACGCTGAGAGGAATTCACTGATTGCTTTTCCTAAACAACCAAACAGCGTGAGGGATTTCTGCTCTCGTTTATGCTTTTGATCAGGCTTTGTAGAA